GTTCCTTTTAGTAGGATAACATTTGGTGAGAAAGTGTCAGACTCGGTTTTATTTGAGGTCTGCTGCTTCCCCACAGACCAGGGACTCTTCGAGGAGATCTTCCCCCAGCGACTTCCCTCCCACCCCCCCTTTGGGTAACAGACTGACGACCGGCCTGGAAGTGTGCCTTGTTCCACGGGGCCATCAAACATTTATTCATCTCATAAGCTGCTGCCAACAGCCTCACTTACAGCCATGGGCACTGCAGAAGGGAGGGTAGGTCGGGCTCACAGTTATGACAGCCATATAAAAGATAATGCAGTGAATTTATATGCATTTCTGTTTCGGTGTGTGCACACACAAGCAAGCGTGCAAGTGTGTTTGTGTATTAGGGAATGCGGTGGTGAGGGGCTTTTACCCCTGAATGGAAGACTGCCTTGCACCATAAATCTGTCCCTCACTGGGAAGACAAAATGAAAATGGCCCCGTCATAAAACATCTGTAATGGCTCCATCCACCACCAACACATAATGGGGCAATTACCAAGAAGGGGGCTGGGACAGCATGAAGCCTTTAGCTCTCTTTGGTACACCACACAATGCTTTGGTGTATGCGATTGTGTCTTATATGCATATGTCTGTGCATATGCATGTGTTGGAGCTTCATTCTAGCTTAGGACCGCAATGTGAAGATATTACAAGAGGCATAGAGGGAATCATATTGGAAAAACACTCCACTTTTACCTGTTCGTTGACCTTGTTCCCCCAAGAAACCACTTTGTCCATTCTGCACAGTGACAGACAGGCACATCTAATCTGAAATTGCATTATTGATGCCTGATCTTTTGCACCGCCCAAGCCCGGGCCCTGTGTCTTCCACACCTCGTAATCAAGCATAATTGAGGTTAACTGTACAGCACGGCTGAAATGCAAGACAGGTAAGCCGCAGCCTCTCATGATTAATGTAGTGTGTTAGTGTTCTGGGCTCTGACCTTTTGAGATAGGCCAGGCACCATTTTTAAGTGAAAGCTCTGCCTCTGCCGAGTTGTGGAGTTGTCCATCAAGTCCTCCTGCACCCCGCCACCCTCCGCCCCACCATCATCCCCCCTTCAAAAGTCAGATCCTTGTCTTGCTGCCTCATTGCGCCTGACCCATGTTTGTTTGCCTACATGTCTTGTTTTACAATGCAGAACCAAGACCTTTTTTTTTACCACCCAGGTAACTCTTTGGATTTGGGCATGTTTTGTGTATTGGAGAGAAAAGTTTAATGGGTATTGATCAAGCATGGATCAGGACGGGGACAAGAGTGTCTTTACCTCTGAGATTCTGGGTTTTTCATCACTTTTAAGCCATAAAGGCTACTCAAAGCTGGAGCTGCTTTGCTGTTTAATTCCTGTCTCTTCCTTTGACATTGCAAGTCAAAGCATGCATTTTAGGCCTAATTTGTCCTCCTGTTGGCCGAGTGCTCAGACCAGTGAATGCCATTGTCTGGCCCCTGTTGGTCAACGACCCTCCCTCTCCTCTCCACAAGCGTCCGCGGATGTGAATTGGCAGCGAGGTCATGTCCTCGCCTTGCTCCCAAACATAAGCATTGTCAGAGTTAACTGAGTAAATTTACTTTTGACTCGAGCTCATTCAGAGCCTCACACAAACACACAGAGACACTCAACAGATGAACTGCGAGCACACAGAAAGACAAGCTTCCTTTCTGCAGAGATTTGCCGGAGAATCAGAAGGTGTACTTGTTAATCAGGGATGGCGAGGACCTGGGTCACCATCTGTAACATAGACCAGGGGCAGTAAATGGATGAGGAGGGGTGAAAGGGCACCCTCAGACATTCCTTTAGAAAATAAACAGAGCAAAAGCGGGCTTCTCTGGACAGGTATTCCAAGCAGATCTATCATGTTGACTTTGCTGTTTTCTCAGTTTATGAATGCATTTTATAAAAAGGTTGTTTTTCCAGATACAAAATACACAGTGAAACAAAGTGTCTGTTGGGGCTGAAATAAGCAACGTTACTAATGGCTTCATCCTCACATTTCAAATGCCCAGTTGGGAGTGAGTTTAATGCAATTAGCAGGTTATCTGTGGTGAATTGGAGGTGCTCTCTTCCTGTTACCGTATGGTCTGACAGGAGGGAGGGATGGCTTTCTGCAGGACCACAGAGGAAGAGACAGGCAGATGCCCCGTTAGAGGAAACACCCTGATCTTTTGTTACACTATGGCTGCTGTGTTTGGGGTTTATTATCTGTCTCTGCTTAAACAGCAGCTGCCAAGTGCAACCAATCACTTTCACAGTTTTGGTTTTCGTTTCAAGTGATTCAAAGAAAAATTCTACAAAACATATCTCTGTTTTTCTTTTCCAAACTAAGTGTGAAAAAATATGAGTGAAAAAAACAGTGACCTCTGGCATTAAGGCACAAGCAAGTGTATTTAATGTTTGGGGCCACCCCTGCCTTTGTGTTGGAGCCAGTGGTTCAATGAAAGGCGGCAGTAGGGGTCACTTCAGGCATCTGCCGCTCTCCTGCACCACTCATCCCTCCATCTGTGTACGCTGCTGCCCTTCTGTCCACTCACACACACTCACAGACAGACAAATACATACAGAAAGATACACTCCTTAATGTTGCGTGTGAATGCGCATACACTGTAGACATGTACGTCTGTCAGGCTGTTTTTTATTCCGCATCTGTTTATCACAGAGAGGCAGCACCTTGCATTGGCCTGCATTCTTGGCCGGAGAAAGGTGTCAAGCTTTATTATAGAGGGAACTACAGTATCTGCAAAGCATAATGGTGGGAACTAGAAGAAACCAGAGAAGGAGGGACCCCTCTAGAGGCAAAAAAAAAATCTGTGAGGATAAAAAAAATAAATACGTTCTTGCTGGATTTTATCAGTAGCAGTTTAAAAGTCAGGCCTTGGCAGGGTCCGAGCTCTTCTATTCTCTTCTACATTTAAACTGTATCCATTCAACAAATCAAAGCACAAGATCTAAGTCCTCGCGATAAATTTTCTAATGCTCCTTAATGCCAGTTAAACAAATTTCTGCTTGCTCAGAGGTCCTCGCCATCTGAAAGATCAGCATGATTTATGCCCTTCCTGTCGCTGATGAGGACATCACTGATAACGGCGAGGTTAAGTATGAGGAACATTTATGTCTCCATACGAGCCAAGACGTTCTTTTAAATCTTGGAGAGGCTCCCGGGAGCAACACCTAGTAGATCTTTAGTTATGCAGCCTCGCAGAGCTCTAAAGAGGAGCCACAGATGTGGGGTGTCAAGACTATTTGTGTTTCTGATGAAAAGGACCCGTCTCTTCGCCAACTTTGGTTTGCTTAGACTAATATATTAGGACCGAGTTTCAAATAAACACAACTCTCTGTTTTTGCTCTCTCTGTGCCTCGGCGTGGAGTGGAGGGACAATAAGGCGGTTGTGATGAAGAACTTTATAGGAACATTTAACTTGAGAGTGAGGGATTGAAGCGGGTAAACAAAGCATTCCTTTCCCTTTCATCACCATTTAACTGTTCCCTTAACATTCAGTCTCACCTCCAGGCCAGTGCCCACCAGACCGGGGAACTTGTCAAATAAATATAAATCAGAAAGGAAAGGTTTATCCCACAAGTTACATGAAGTTGCTCAGGACTTTTACACATGATTGTGCAACATTGCAGTATTTCTAATCCAGATTCAGCTGCAAAGACTGGTGAACAATATCTCCCATAGTGAGCAGCAGGGATAGCATAGTAGCACCCCGGCGATGGTGTTCCAGACACATAGCCTGGAGGGCCATTTGGTTATACTCAGGGGAATGGTTGTTGTGTCAATCATTTGCGGCGACCGCTAAAGAGTGCACTTAGCATCCTCTGTTTCCCCCTAGCAAACATGTGGGGAGTGACATGATACTGTACAAGAGTCTGGACAACATATAACATTTCAAAGCAATTTCCTAATTGTTTCCAGGCCAAGGTCGATAGCCTATATGGAAGCAATCCCTTCTTTCAAACTTTTTTTTTTGTCATCCACAGATTGGGGAAACATTAAAGTGTTAAGTAAACTTGACCCAGGCGGGCTAATTCATTGGGAAATAGCTGGGGTTCGTACATTCGGTGCCATATCAATGACAGTCAGTCAGTGGATTTCCTTCTACTTGGATGGTCACCATATGTTTATACGGCACAGTCCTGAACCAGCCAGTCACTGAATGATGACATTTGTTGTCTATGATGAGAGACTGTTTACAGAGGGGAAGAATAAATTAGCTTGTATACCTGAAGGCAAAGGTATATGTGCTCCATATGCACTGTGCACTTCTTAATGTAGGATTCTGATGACTGTGATAAAATCTACAGCTTAAAAAGTCTCTGTGACAACATGGAATCAAGGGCATGGCTTCTGTTTCAGTTTCAGAGGGGATACATATAAAAAGGAGGGGCTTTGGGGTCTCTGCCAGAAGATTCTAAAAGTCAAACACTTAATATCCTGCATTCTGTTTATGTTTTGTACCAACTTGAGACTTTTCTGCATTGATGTATGGTGTAAATGTCTTTTAAAAGCCTCCGCTACATTCATCTTTTTATTGGAGGGGACAAATACACATGTTCTAAATACTGAGGGGCACGTGTCCCCTGCATCCCCCCTGAAATCTACACCTATGCATGGAATAGTTTAAAATTGCTACAATTTAGTAATGTTTCTTAAAAGGTCATTTAGTGTGCTGCATGTGTGTTTCAAGATGTTTCAGCACATATGCAATCATAGTTAGACAAATATATGTTTTGTTGTTCTTGTTGTTGTCGTCTTCTCAATATGGCATGGTTTAAGGTTTGAGAGTCGGATATAGAAAGTTATTTGGGCCAACATCGTTTTAAAAAATCATTTAATTAATCCACTGATAAAAAAGACAATTTTCTGGCCTCTTGGTCCTCATAAAGAAATGCTTCAAATCGTTCTTATTGTTGTCCTTATTTTTTTTTAAAGGGAAGTCAAACTCTCTTAAATACACTTAAAATGAATGACATGAATGCAGGAAGGGTGACATTAATCATCAGAAGTACCAGACTGGTCGACTTTGTTTTGAATTTTATTTGTACAGTAATGGTGTGGAATATTATCCAGTAATATATGTATATAAATGATCTTATATATCATTGTAAAAGCTCTTTACACTCTAACTGAATGCACCTCAAAACTCAAATCCTATATGCAATTATGAGGTAGACATTAATAATGGTATTTTCCACCCTCTGCAAAAAGACAAATATCGAATACACCTTAAATTACTCTTATCAATGTAAGAAATATATGATTATCATGAAACTCTGTACATCACAAATAATAAAATAATTATAGAATAGAAATTATACCGATTTGAGTGCATTTTGTATATTTACAAAGAAATGCCGTTTTCTCATTTCTTCATTCGTTGCACTTTGTAAAGTTTTCGACTGTACAAATATTTACAACTCAAAAAAAAAAAAAAAATGAACAGCAGTGCATTCAAAGCTAATGTGCATTTAAATATCGTCTCGTTTGCGAGTCTTTTTTCTTTCTTATATTTTCGTCATCATCAGAGAAGACAAACTCTCTCGCTGACCGCGTGTCCTTGGCGCAGTCAGTTGTGGAAGTGCATTTCGTAAAGATGCAGACTTTTGAGCAAAAAGTTCGCCTCAGTAATGTGTGCTTTTTTTGTACAACAGGGCCCCAGTCAGGCACAAGTCTGGTTTTGTGTCCTTTCTGTCCGCAAAGGCGCACGACGCTTCTCCCAGCGCCTCTTCAACTGGTCTCCAGTAAGGCAAAAATCTCTTGAAGGCATTACCACCAACCATCTTATCTCCTCTCCTCAGACCAGTCTGTGTGTGTGTGTGTGTGTGTGTGTGTGTGTGTGTTTGGTAGATTAGACATTCACCCCCTTTTATTTGGAAAACAGGCACTTGCTCGGGCCTGTAATGACTCCAGCTGGACAGTGGCAATTACGGCCTGGATGCACATACCCAAAAGAGTCCGGCCTGGCTGGCAGGATCACACGGCAGAGCTGACAACAAAGCGCTGACAGGCAAAGCCCACTGTCCTCTGGCCTCGGCACGAACAGGTGCACAGTCGGTCTCAATAGGCTCCCCATCTCGCCTTGTACCCATCCCTTGTGCCATATGGACACGTCTCACTCTCCGGGAAACAAAAGCCTGTTTGATGAGTGATCACTTGTTGCGTGGATGGGAATGAAGGCGTAACACGTTAAGGCAGAGAGTGTGAATTACTGTGACTGTACTGAGTCTGAATAAATAGCAGATATCGCCTTTAGTGTGCATCCCTTTTGAATAAAGACAAAGCGCGTCATGCGTCAAAGCATTTCAGACCTGTGAGGACTCTTCAACCTGCATGGGACCCATCAAGACCTATCTTTGATTTTTCTGTCTTTTAAAGTTTTTCTCTCTGAATAAGGACCGCTACCTGCACCCACACTGCTCCACCACCATGTCCTCGTACTGTTTGTACACCACGTTATTGCCTGAGTCTATGTACAGGATGCTGATGGGGCTGAGTTTGGTGGGGACGCAGCAGCTGGGCGGGGTGCTGTTGGGGTCCATGGAGTTCATGAGCGTCTGTATGATGGCGTGGTTGGTCGGCTCGAGGTGCGACCTCAGGGGGAAGTCACACACCCCCTCGCAGTGGTACGCCTCGTAATCCAGAGGCGCGATGATCCAATCGTCCCAGCCCAGCTCTTTGAAATTCACGTGCAGCGCCTTTTTGCTGCACCTGGATTTGGATTTCTTCCCGTGCCTCTTCCCGTGCCGGTTGCTCAGCGCCGTCCTCCGCCGCCGCCGAGGCCCCTCTCCTTTCACCCCCCTCAGCGACAACCCCTCCTCCTCCGCCGCCTTCACCACCATCACCGCCTCCTCCTTCTCACCCACCGACCTCCGCGACTTGATCTTCTCCTTCATCTCGTTGAACAGGTTCTCCCTCTTCTTGGAGCGCGTGTAGGCCACCAGGATGGCCTTCTCCTGCTGGGACCGGCCGCTCCTGTCCAGCCCCAGCTGCCTCAGGTCCACCTCGGTGTTTGATTTGCGGAGAGTGACGCGGAGCTGGAAGCAGAGCTGGTTCCCCTGCTGATAGTGATGATGGTGATGGGGGTGGTGATAATGATGCTGGTGTGCTTTAAACATTTCCCACGCGTCCAGAACCTCCCAGCCCGGCTTGGTGGAGTCCAGCGGGTCCAGGGACCGAGAGTCCAGCAGTCTGTCCGAGCGGCATGGGTAGAGCTGGATGTCGTAGAGGCCCGTCGTCTGCAGGGAAGTCTGCAAATCCCCGGGCGCTCTCCTAAATATCCTTAATTCCGCCCCGACCAGCTCCTCTTTGTCTGAAAGGGTTGAGACATCAAACAGATACTTTTGTCTTCGCAGAGGAGAGTGCAAAAGATCGTCTGCAAGGATAAAAGAAGAAAATAATTGCAGTCAGATTCACTTAGGGTGTACAGTGTTCAGAGGGATGGAGGAGGGAGGGAGGGGGACTCACATTCTCCCACAGAGGCCTTCTCTCTCTCTCTCTCTCTCTCTCTCTCTCTCTCTCTCTCTCTCTCTTGTTTTTCAAATGTCCACCCTGAACCTGCCTGGAACAAACTACAGCTGACAAGTCCTCAGTTTGGATGAGAATGAAAAAAAACTCACAGCTAACACCACGTTTATTATTGGTGAAAACGTCTGCTGATTGCGCAGCCTCAATCCATGACTGTATTATACTTCTCAACCCACTCTGAACATTATTTCCCGCTAATTTACTTTGATTTTATTACATTAGAACAGAATCATCCTGATAATAAAATCTCTGATCATGCTGAAGGCTGGATGAGGTTTAAGTTTGTAGAGTCTGCTCTGAGGCTTCCTGCGTAAAACTGTAGTTCCCAAAGTTTCTTGATTTCATTTCATGCAGATTTGTTGCGCATGAACAACTTGAAATGATATTGTGAAGCAAAGCACACGCTGTTTATGCCATATACATGAAGGATCTGATCTCACTTGTTCCAAACAATATTTATCCACCAATGCCATTATAGTGCCAATTTTCGTTTTTGATATAACATTGACAATAATCCAGTAAAATCTGGCGAATCTCATATGCCACGCTACTTTTAATCAAAGCCAGCTTGTTTTAATGAAAATAGTTCCGCTTTCATTTCACTTGATGACAGACTGATTATTAATTTCCAGCTCTTTGACAGAGTGGAAGCAAACTTTCCCTTCTTTACAGTCTCTAAAGCTCTTAAATGTAAGCAGGAGTCTGAACATCACAAATGTGGTTAGTTTTCTTTTTTCTTTTTTTTGAGAACTCTTGCAGAGTTGTAAGGCAAAGGGGGGGAAAAGAAAAAAAACAAGGGGCCTAGTGATGTGAAGGCCCCTGGGTGCTGCCAGACACAACGGACCAAAGGCGACATACTGTACACTCAACTGAACAATACACAATTAATGCATTATTCCCTGCTGGAGACCCAGGAGGCCTGCAAATATTCCACCAAGGCGGACCAATGAGATTGGAATATAACACTGTGGGACAATGCATGAAAAGGCGTTTACAAAACACATCGAATATCTGCGTTTAACTGACAAGGAAATCCTGATGTTATCTGTGTTTTAATGGGATACACTTTGGATCAAAAAGATTCACGTTTCGCATATGTTATCGTGCATGTCAAGCTGCAGTTTAGAGCTTATTAAAGTGCAGCCACAGTGAACATTTTCTTGGTTTTGCTCCAAAACAACCACTTATAATAAATTATTTTGGTGCATTTTACCTTTATATCTTTTTTTTTCTTATGGAAACTGGAAATAAATCATCAAAAAAGAGTGAAATAATTGTTTTATTTCCTGTGTTTCCATTTTTCAATATTTTTATTGAGTAAAACGTGACAGAATTTATCATTAAAATAGTGATTTTTCTCAAAATACGTTAATGCCGTCGGGATACGTGAGATCATTTCATTTAAATGTCACATTTTTCCCACTTAATAAAAACATGAGGTTTTAATCCTAAAAGCGGGATTTAATTACTTGCTGAGAGATGAACGATCTGTGGTCCTTTTTTTCCTCATAAAATAAAAACATGGTGTCTCCATTTCTGAACGTTTAAAAAATAAAAAATAAAATAAAAGTGACATGTCTACGTCCAAACACCTCAGTGATATAATTTGTAAAACTTGTTCTGAAGAGATATTTGAATCTAGTTGTCAGTTTCCCTCCGTGAACCCTGCCGAGTCACACAGTAAAAAGCAGATTGAAACCTTGTGCTCGTTTCAGTGACTTTGCGCGTATGGTCTGCATTAGGTTTCTTTCTCTTTTTTTATAAGACCTCAAACAAATCGAATACAAGTTCACCAAATAATTAACAGTTCTGAATTCCCAACTTCCTCATTAAAGCACTTCCCCTCTTATATTTCATCTCATCCTGCCAACGACAACATTCCCCCTTAAAACGCGCCTGCACGGACTGACAGAGTGACTGACTGACTGACTGACTGACTGAACACACTGCTGGAATTATTGAAAGATATTCGTGTTGACAGTTTAAAAAAATTAGAGCGTTTTCTTAATGTCATTATTATGTAAAAAGCCAATTCTTTCCATTACGCGTAAGATGCTTGACAGTGGATAATTGGGGGGAGAGTGCGGTGGAGTTTTTTGCTTGGTTAAAACGGCATCCTGTGCACTTTTGTTTGACCTTGTTGCTTGTATTTGAACAAATGCAAAACATGTTTTTGTCATCTATGCCTCTGTTTAGAGAGAGAGGGAGGGAGAGAGAGAGAGAGAGGCCGGGCTGCACCATCTGCGCTTTAATGAGTTACCCCAAGTGCCAAAAGTAATTTTCAGATTCGGGTTATTCTTTTCTGATCTTGGCTTTTCTGACCTGCAGGAAACACCCTGCCTCGTTTTATAAGCAAATTTCATTTACCTACAAAAGTGTGAAAGCCAGAGAAGCCGTAGATCATAAGAGCCCTCAGTAAAACCTGTCTCTGCGTGGATGAATAATGCGTAAAAAGACGTAAAACCTGTTACTTTACGCGTCAGAAAAGGCTGCCCCCATGTGTATTTCTTTCCTGATGGAGGCGATTTAAATAACGAAAACTCCCAGCTGAGGTTCATTCTACAGGTTAATGCAATGCAACACTTAGGGGATGCTGGGAGGACTCCCAAAAGAAACCAAAGGCGCTTGAGCTGAAAGAACGGGAAGAAAAATAATTTTCCGTAATTAAAGTGGCGGTCGCAAAGGGAGGTTCCGCAGTAAAAATACGAACCACTTCACAGCGGAGGAAGTGCTCTTTCATTTTTTTTTCTCTCCCTCCTCGTCGTTTTTTTGGTGATGTGCCCATCGCGGCCGAGCTGGGTCATTATGGGAGAATAGACAGTGTTTGATATGTTATGACATGAACACTCAATTAGATCACCGAGTTCAAATACTTTAATCAGCCGTTCGATGCCAAGCAGCTCTCAGAGGGTCCAGCTCGGGGTCAGAGCCAGTGACACATCACATCAGAATCACAGGAGAAAGTGAGGCGTTTTTCCTATCAAATCAGTTCACACTGCAAGAAATGGCCACATGGACGAGCCTTTTAGTTTCATATTCATCCTAAAAAAATTTCCTTTTTTTCTGAAAACGAACAGCTGTGTGAGAGAACACCACTTATGTTCAATGCATTTAGGATTTAAAAGCAAAAAGTATCAAACCGTCTGATAAGTTTTTACAAATTGCATTTCACTGAACATAAATCTTGATAAATAAGTTAATTTGCACTTGACATAATTGCAGTTGCACCTCTCCAAGTAGGCAGATGATACTATGATTCAAGCAGCCGACTCTGGACTAACCAAGTCCTCATGATGGATATTTTTTGCAGCGCATAGTCTCGGGGTGTTTCAGGGAACGCAAACAAAGATAGCTTTTATTTTTCCTACAAAGATTAACTCGGTTTATGTCCCCTTGTGTGTGTTGGATGTGTTTGTGTTTATCAGTTTGTGTTTGTCCTCGCAGGCCAGTCAGATCACTTGGTTACACATGTTAACTGACCCAAACACCTGCTTCTCACACCGACCCGCTCTGACATGGCCCCCAAGCTCCCTTTGTCAGCACAAGTTGGCCAAACAGGGCACCATAATGGCACCTGATTGGACTTTTTAATATGTGCCTTATATGGGGGTTTTAAACTCCGTGTGTATTTTAAATGTTTAGGGGTTACATTTGCAGTATTTGCGTTTGGGGATTAATTTAAAAAAAAAATCGAAAATGAAACAACCACCGAGTGCTCTCACATAACTGGAAAAGTTTCCTGTGTATTCACGTGGAGGTTGGGAGCAGAGTAGTTTTTGCTGCAGCCTGCACCGACAGTGATTTACAGCCTTCATTTAGAGAGCGCCTTAATTAGTGTTTTACTGTCGTGTTGCCCAGAGGTTAATTTAAATGCAATATAAGTTAATACTCGGAAAATGTTACATGTTTCGGCGGCTGTGCGCCAAACACATCCAAATACAATCACAAAACTGCTCATAAACAACATATAATCATGCCGTTTTCAAAACATTTCTTTTGTTTAGCACTCATTTGTGTGATATATTGATAGTTTGTGCGCATAAAAGTTCATTTGCACGCTATTTTTGCCTGATCTAAAACGTGCGTAAAAGTTGTTCTGTACTTTTTATGCCTGACTGCAGTTTTTAGCCACATTTTATAAAGATCTAAACAAGAATGTTACACCAGTCAGTTGATGAAAAACTGTGCCACAGAATTATGCAAGAATGAGCTGATGGAGCTGGCACCGGACTGAAACCAACCTGTTCCTCTGTCCACAAAACTTGTTATGGTGTTGGCAGATTTAGAGGAGCGGAAAAAGCTTGCGTTTAGTCCGAGCTTCTCTGCAGCCGAGTATGTCCTGTATATAGAGAGCATGTATTCATGCGGCACAATAGCGTCCTTTGGGTCTTCTTTGTGATGGCCCACAATAGGATGCGAAGACGCGAAGATGTCTTTTAGGATTTTGGATGACCTTTGTCCGTCCCGATGAGAGATCCGGGCTCCCTTGTTTCTCCTCGGCGCAGAGGGAGAGATGATAGCAGCAGACTGGAAACACGGTATATTCCCAAGGAAAACAAGGAGCAGGCCCAGATATAGCGTTACGAGTCGAGATGCGTCCATGGTTGGAAGAGTCACCGGGAGATCTTTAGAAACTCTTTATTTCCCGCTCAGTGAAGTTGGATTCGGGGGGCCGCCGGAGTCGGAGATGGTGTGCGTCAGGGTCGGAGAACTGCTACTTTTGCGCCCTCCGGTCGCACCAGAAGAAATGCGTTTTGCGCTCTGGACTCCACACAAGAGCGGAGACTGTTGGGCCGAAAGAAACACGCCCACATGGTCGCTCAGTGCAGGGCTTCCCAAACAATTTCATGTCACAGACCTCCTAACAGTCGCCAACGGACCGCCACAAGATACAGGCACAAGAGTCCATGTGGGAAAGTTTTTGTTGGTGATGCTTTAGCCGCCAACTGCTGAACTTATCTACACCAGAGATTTATGATTTACTATATTTAGGGTGACATTAACTTGAATTGTGATATCAATAATCGACTCAAACTACAATGAAATTAGCCTTAACTGTTATCAACTTTGCTCCGTCCTTAAAAAAATATTGTAGACAGATAAAACTAAAAGCCCAAATATCCTGAGTAGCATGGAGCTACCTCTGTTACTGCCAAGTTTATAAAGATGACCAAAGCAGATATAGGTCCACAGAATTTTCACATACACTTAAACAGAGTTATAGTGCTCCTTATCACAAAGTCTGGGAGCTTCCAAGGACATGTCAGATCAGATTAGATTAGATTTTACGCACAGATAGACTGACAACAATGTGTGCACAGGGAGATCATTAAGCAGCTAATCTTTAAAGAAACATCATGAATTTTGCAACTGAGTGTGACACATTAATCAGAGGAAGCATTTCTAAATCCTATGGCATGGATAATATAACAAGGCAGATGTAATGTCAGTGTGTGTTTTAATGTTGAGCGGATGGCATGATGTGAGGAGAGAATCAGCTCCTCGGAAACAGACACATGTTGCGATAAACTGAGGGAAGAGGTCTGGTGCATTTAAATGTAACCTGGAGATGTGATCACAGTAAACCCAAAACATCCAGCACTGATGTGTGGAGACGTTCAAATGCATCAAACATGTTTCAAATGACACCAGTGACCTCTAGTGGACATTGGTGTTTATTACAACCCGGTGTCTCCCTTTTAGGGAAACGAGGACAAGTGCGGCGTTCATGTCCTGTGGGAAGATCTGATTGTGTGACTAATGTTAAAACAGATCAACTGTACAGTATAGGTCAGTGCTCCCTTGTTTAAATGATTTAACCACGTCTGTTAGTGCTGATCTGCTTTCAAGCACGGACTTAAACGTCTGATTTTCATTTAAAGCAAAGCAAACATGTTAGTGACAATTAAGTTATGAGGTTGACATATCAAATTGTGAAAATGAGTATTTTTTTTAATATGATTCCCAACACTTGTGTATAGGCATTTCCTCATGGCCAGAAGGCACTATTCAGGAGGTCAGAGACACCAGGGTTCACTGCAGAATATAGGTTACCTCCATGTTACCTGAATGCATCACCAGGGCTGCGCCTGGAGAACCAGAAGGATAGATGTGCAATCAACAGACAGATTTGTAATTTATTTAACATGTGATGTGACCTCATCTAATTTTCAAACGGTGTCATAGTGTGTTAGGTGTTAAATATTCCACTAAGCAGATAATGTGTACATTGCAAAGGTAGAAATCTGTATCCCACATAGAGGCAAGATAAAATAATGTCCAGATGAGACAGAGTTTACAAGAAAGTAACACGCAATAGAAATATTATATAAGTTATAATTAGAATACAAGGGCAGTAATGAAGAAAAAAACACACTGGCAACACAGATGTCACAAAAATGCGGATGTGATGAACTGTGGATAGGACCTAGGGACAGGGATATTTATGTCAGTCCATTTATAGTTAACCTGCAGCCTGCTGTATGCATCATGCTGTTCCAGCAGAGGGCCTCAGTGATATAAAAACAAACTGTTTCTCATAAGTCACATGCTGACATTTCAGTCAGTACCACCCAGTGTCCAGGGCCTTTCAGAACCCTGTTTGATGCGCATGATGATGCAAGCGATGACATCATTAACTGTATGGCCTTCAGGTTATTTCATAGACATGCATAATACGCCATTTGACTCCTGCTATGGGCTTCAATTTCCCTACTCAATGGCGCAGTTGCTCATGCACATCTGATGTTTCTATAATACAGAATCTGTAAGTGATGCCGCCACTGTGATGAAATGGCATTCAAAGCGCAGGCACTAAATTGGAACATACAGTGAATAGTTATTAATCGGGACAGGAGCAGCACCCACCTCCTTGGTTTCAGCACCATGGAGAGCAAACTCGCTCTGACACTGAGAGGAGGTCAACACACACTCACATCACTGCACACACGAACCCTCTGCGTGTGTGTGAACATATGCCAGGCCTATATGTCATGCTGTGCACTTTAGCTGGCATCCTTAAGATGTGCGTCAGTCAGCAGCATGGCTTTGATGACATTTATTCCATAAATCCATGCAAGAAATGTTTGGATAGAAATTGTAAAATATAAGATATATTTTGGTGATGAGCACATTTATTATAATGTGAATTTGTGAGGCATATGTTATGTGGTAAAATGGCACTGTAAGATGAAACACAGATTCACATCATACATTGATAAGCATGTTGTTTTGATGCTGATCTCATGCCAGATTCCCATGTGGACATGTCAGTGTATGTAGTCTATATGTAGGCCTGTCCGCAGCTTATGGCTCTATATGTGCGTGGTTAAGTAATGCCCCGCGCGTTATGTAACACACTTGGGATGGGAGTCATATTGTGCGTGCACCGTCAGTGGTCTCGCTTCCTTGTCCAATCGTGTGTGTCCTCAGTCTGCACACAGCTCTCCTCCACCCGACATCCTCACAGCAGAGCGGAGGCTGGCACCGCCGGAGCACCAGCAACGGAACGACCCTTTGTGCTTCACCGCCTGACGCGCATCCTTCTGAGAGGAGCCACCATCACACATCCAGGCAAGCGTTGCATTCATTGTCCTTTCTAAATCATTTCAAACCAATATATGATGAGTATTAGTTAAAAAACGAAGTGAAAGTGTTGGCAGGGTGGGAGCAGGTGGGCTGAGGAGGAGCTGTTTACAAGTTAAGGAGCCAGTCTTTTTGTCGATTCATCCAAACGCACGCACACATCATACATGTTTGGGGTGGTTCTGGGTGAAATGTGGACACATGAGGTGTGCAGCCTGATGTTTACATCACCACTGGTTACATCCTATAGATCCTTTATTCTAGAGGCATCTCTCGGGGAGAAAAACATTCAGCAAGTGTGGGGGCGCCAGATGAAACAAAACAAAATCCCCATCACTGAAAACAACATGATAAAATATAAAACAAGCCTTCTGAAGGCGGGATGCTGTCACTGCCAGGGGATATGAAGACACGAAAATATCACCAGCTTTTATTAACAGTGAAAATAGCTCTGAAGTGAGATGCTGAAAACAAAGGGAGGCATGTAAACACGTGAACACATGGGAGGGTCTGTTTTCCTTGGTTACAGCATTGGCTCTGTTTGATGGCTGATATTCTTTAAGAAAAATTAACCTTTCGTTTATTATGAGAATTTGATGTGTTTTTAAAGACTTTTAGCACCATACAGATTCTATGTGGAACAATATGATGCCACAATATGAGACTTATTTTGTGGAGTTTATAGCAGTCAGCTGTGTTTTTATGTTTGGCACAAGCCTTCTGGAAACTATCAGGAAACCATTTTGTCAGTGTTGGTTTTGGTTTCAGTTTGCTTCATGCTCCCAGGACTGATTCCTGTAAGTCAGGGTGATCACTCATGACACCATGCAGTGAAGATGCAGTCTGTTTTAAGGGTTGATGAGCTCAGAAAAAGTGTTGCAAATGACGTGCTGCTCAAAAACCATGAAATCTTAACATTTCCAGAGCACATCCTGCACGGCATAATGATAAAAAATGGAGTATTTGAAGATAGATGCTTAGTGAAGCTCACGCCTCTCAAAGCTGCTAACAACAGTCAGACACTTAGGAGTTCATCAGTGAGCATCAAATGTCGTCATCACAGAGATTACTCAACTTAAAGCCTCCTAGCAATCAAGTCAATGGACCAAATAGAGTAAGTGTATCATGGGCTTAATATCAGAAAGGAATAAACAGCTTCATATTAGTGAGATGTGCATGATGGACAGTAGACAGCACATAGACTGGGATGGATTAACGGAATTTATTATTCACGCCCACTCCTTGCTGTTTTTTAAAGTAGACCATCTGGATGTGGGAAATAGCTCCGGTGGAGGCTTAAAGGCTTGTTTATCAGTCATGTACACATTTATCTCAGCATCCCACTGTCAGTCCTCCTTTACCAGTGCATCTGCTTTCAGGGCACTTTTATGTTTGTTGGAGTGATGGCTCGTGCAGGTAATTTGGGAGCTCGTCATGCTTAAGAGAGCTGAAAATCCTGTGTTTGCAACTTAGATAATGCTTAGCCTGTCGCTCAGTGGGTAGCCAATCAATGTTGTCTGGAGTCAAGCAGCGGACTTTGGTGCAGGACCAAATGCTTAATCCTACTTCACAGGCGCAAATGCATTGGAAACTGGCAAAATATCACCACAGTTAGGATGAAATCTACTTTCAGGTAGCATGTATGGACAGGCATCTATGTCCAAGCATCTCACAAGGTTTCAGGTTACACGCTGACAGTATTGACTGAGTATCATCAAATTATATATCCCAGCACCAGAACATATAACAAAACACGATTCCCTTTCGATTTGGCTCCAGGACGCTGCAGGCTATCTGATCTCTGTCTCTTTATTTTTCATGTTCTGATGTCACCGCCCTCCTGCTTTTCCTTCACCAGGCTGCTCATAGTTGCATGAATTAATAAAAGTCACTTCCTGAGATAAAAATCTTCACCCCACTCTCTCCTCTCTACCACACCCTGTTTATTGAATTATTTCTGCCCTGTGCCTTCGCCTCAGGTCTGATTTCTTTTCCAGCACTTTACTAGTGTACATAATCATTCCAGGCTTATTGAACAATGTCTTCTAACATCCATCACCATGGCTTTATAACCTTGTTTTTTAAAATTGATTTACTGCACTGCAAGATCTGCTAAAATATTGTAGATAAATTCCAATAATCATATGCTACAAACAGCTGAAATGTAAGTCAGTGGTACTTGGATAAGTATACACAAAAGCTCCCTAAGCTCACACACATTGGCTCAAGGACACAGTGTTCATTCAGTCTGAGAAAAACACTGTACAGCTGAATGGCAAACACCCCCACACCACCTCGACACACTCTAGATATTTTTCCTCAGTGAAGGACGGCGTCTCAGGATGAGCAGCAGAAGCCTACACTCTGTGCAGATTTACACATAATTGGTCGAGTCTAGCTGGAGTCCTTCGTGCAGCGTTTTCCCTCAGTTGCTAAGACTGTTGCTAGGGCACGGCTCTGGTTGCTCTGCCCTGCCTGGTGCCTATAGTCTGAGTCTGCTGTGCCAGCGTGCCAGGCAGCTTTGCAGTGCTACAGTATGATGATGTGGATGCCTGAAAATGAAAGTAAAACTGCAGGCAAGGTGGTGCAGGCCACCCAGAACTCAAATCTATTTTTGAGTTCGATAAAAGGAGGTTTGAGTTTGATCCCCACGAGGCTTTGCTCTATTTTTGCAATCCTCTTTGGGCCTCTGTGGTTTGAAGAAAGAGGATTTTGAGCGAGTCTGGGCTGCTCATACAGGGAACGTGGCTTATATTAGATTATCAAGTGGTGATATCTTTCTGTTATTGGTTGGGGATTGTTTGGAGAAGCCTGATGATGGAGGCAAAATTAAAAAAAAAAGGGCAACATCTGAATGGAGCAAGGGAAGACAGGTTCACTGATGCGACATCAGCAAACAGGCCTTGGGGTCAATTACATCATTCCCAACGCAAAAAAAGAAAACACGCATGCACTTATTCAACTGACCCCCTTAGGCAAATCAACAGGAGAGAGGAAGTGAAGTGATTGTGTAAAGTTTATTCAGGCATGAGAGAAACTCTGCATTATTTAGCTTTAACGCATCAATAAAATATCGTCCTTGTTTAAATGTTCATGTACAGAATGAAAACTTTTGACAAGAGTTCATCTCTTCTCGAGACCATATTTTAAAAGACGATATAATTATTCCTCCATCATCTATTATATCTCAATACTAGAAGTACTTTGTAGCTTTTGGCAGGCAGCCCCACAGTTTTGGCACAGAAGCCTGATAAGGAGAGTCAGTGGAGTTTGGCTTAGCAGAGTGATATACTGAAGTTGGACACCTTTCATCTTTTACTGTCTTCTCATCTGATCATCTTAATCTGAAATGACTGATGCTGAGACAGAATATGAAAAGAGTAATGCCAATCTTTCTTCCTCATAGCTGTATCTGTGTAGACTCTGAACTCTTTACTCTTTGAACCCACACACAGAAGAGTTAAGAGTTATTTTAAATCTATCCATTTCATGAATTTACACTTGTCTTATCTTTTATGCTGTTTTATGGCAGCATCTGTCTATTGATCGGCCCATGAATATGGTCCAGACTGGAAAAAACTTACAGCTGTGAGATGTATTAGCACAAAATGTTGCACAGACAGTCATGGTCCCCAGAGGATGGATCCTAAAAACTTTGGTGATCCCCCTCTACTGCCACCATGAGGCTGACATTTGTCATTCAGAGTGAAATACCTCGACAACTACTGGAAAAATTGCCAATAATGTACATGGTCCCATAATAAATTTGACTTTTCTGACTTTTCATCTAGCACCAAAGTAGCAAAGTTTATACCTATTCAGTGATTTATCTTAGCATACTTGATGGATTACCATTAAATTGTGTGTAAACATTCATGGCTCCCAGACAATATATCCTCATGACTTGGAAGAACCCCCGACTTCTCCTCTACTGCCACCATGGGGTTTACATTTTTGGTTTTTATTGAAATATCTCAGCAACTATTAGATCGATAGGGACATTTTCAGGCTAAAATTTCTGTTCATCCAATGCTTTGGTTCATGACCAAATACAATGATTACAATACAAGATGGTGGCCCATTTAGACACACCTGCTTAGTGCTCCTCCACTGAATCCTGTTGTACATTTACAATGACAACAAAGGTATTCATATATGCAAAGCTAATGAAATTCCCATCAGCCTCAGTTGTACTTGCAGATTCGCAAATATTATCATGCTAACACACTAGGCTAAGACATTAAACATATTCCTTTTAAATGTCAACATGCTACCATTATCACTACGAGCACATAAGCATGCAGAAATCAGCATTCAGTTCAAAGCGCCGCTGTGTTTAACCCACTGTATTGCTATGGACACTTGCTACCAGCCACAACAGCGGGGCTGGTATTGTTTTACCTTGTGAGTCTGTGTGTGTGTCATCATGGCGACATGTGGCCCTGGAGACACTTTTTGTGGTAGGAACTACCACAGAAGCTGTTTTTAGCTTGTTTCCAGGTGTTTATATGTCTAACTGTATGTAGACAGATTATATCAATGCGATAGTAGTCCCAAAATTGAGCTGAGTTTGAAGATGGGTGCGGTCTGAGCGAGATGCCAGAAGTCAGGGAAGGGGCCATTTTAAACTGCAAATCGACCTCATGGCTGGTGTGATGCTGTCACATGATGCTCTCTAGTTCTCACATTTTGTACCTTTTTACTTGTTTTTGCTGTTATATTCATTTGCCTTCATTTGATTTTTAAAGAGCTTTACAAATTCTGATTTAAAAATGCACTTGGCTGTGCAGACGTGCAGAATTTGTTTTATGAGGTCATAAATTCAGTGTGTGTTGGTCACAGCTGGCTCTGGGGTGCTTGTGCCATCTGTACCAGGCAGGATGTGTGTGTGTGTATGTGTGCGGTGGTGGGAGGGATTTAGTGACCTAACAGAGTTCAGACAGAGGGCCCTTGTCTGGTGCGAGCGCCACGTCAAAACCCTGCCACATACACAGACCAAAGAAAAAAATGCCTTACCTAATTTCTCTCCGCTTTTTCATTTAACAGGGGAAAACACTACGTGAAGCACAATGGGACCGTTCCAAGAATATGAGGTGAGTCTTATTGCTTCTGGTCACTGCTGATAGGTTTCTGCATGTTGAATGAGTCTTTTCCAAAGAGAAGTGGCTTTAAGCAATGCAGTAAAAAGAAGATGATAAAAATGTGACACACAATTATAATCATATGGGAAAAGGCCATATGAGATATGAACAAAGTTGAATCTTTTATAATTTGAAAATACTGTCATCATGAAAAAGATGATACACTGAGTTCATGTGGGGGGCTACATCCCTGCCTGCAACTCTGACAGATGTTTCTTCAAACAGGAAAAGAAGTCACCAGAGAAAGGAAGCCCCCGCAGCCGCATCCCCCGTTTGGTCCTCCACCCCTTCCGAGCAAAGGACAAAGGTTCACCTCTGTCCGATTCACCTTTTTCAGAGGAGGAGGGGAAGGAGTGTGATGTCAGCTCCGACCACTCCAAAAGGACCATCAGCACCAACAGCTTTTGCTCAGGTAAGAAGTTCGGCTCCGGTCTGAGGACAGCTGAGTTCATGTTCACGAAAGTGTTAGATACTTTGAACGCCAGGTTGTCAGGTGCAAGACTGTAATGCAGTGCTCTCGATTGCTTGGGTAAACATTAAATTCTTAATATACCAGTGATCAAGCAGTGGTGGCAGAGTGGTTCAGATCCTGAAGTAAAAGTATGTTACCACAATGTGAAAATACTCCACTACAAGTAAAAGTCATGCATTAAAAATCCTGCTTAAGTAGAAGTAAGGGAGTATGATCAGCAAAATGTAATTAAAGTATCAAAAGTTCAAGTACTCATTATGCAGAATGGTAATTTCTAGAGTATTTAATAGAGTGGAGTTGATTTTAACTTACTGGATAATGCAACCTCAAACAAAAAATTCAGTATGTTTATTTCATGTTCTCCTAAATTGCCCCCGCTAACAAACAGAGCTAATGACACACTCCAGAGTGTACCTGTGTATACGTACACTGTGTGCATGTGCACTGTGTAAACAACCACGCAAGCACTTGACATCTACTTTCTGAGAGCGAGTAGCTGTTGTGAAAGCTGTGGCGCTATCTGTCAGATAACACTCAAGCTGAACCTTGAGCTCTGATTGACTGCCTGTGTTCGCTGCCTGCCCCACGCTGCCTGTTCTTGGCTATTACTGTCTGTGTGCCTGTCTACAATAGATGACACCGGCTGCCCCACTAGTCAGTCTGTGTCCCCCTCCAAAACCCCGTCAGGCTCAGAGCAGAGTGCCCACAGATCGCCGATACTCCCAGAGCGCAAGACCAAAGTGAAGAGGGTGAGGGTGATGGCCGAGTGGAGCGGCGAACCACGGAGCACCCAGAGGCACAAGAGAGAGCTGAGGTCGGCCATGAAAACCAGAGGTGAAGAACACACTAATAAATATACAAACATGAAAATGTTGTTGATTTTTCTTCCAGAAAAAGCAGAATGAGGATCAACATTTGAAATCTTCACCACAGTCTTGCAGTATTATCAGCTGATCCTATTCAGTGTGAAATAATCTGATTTGTGTGTTAATTCTACATCAGCTTATTCACAGCACACTGCATGCACGTATACATGTGCATGCCAGTGGTTCCCCAAAGACCAAAGTACAATAACTGTATTTGTGACATGTCAGCAGCCAGCAGATTCTCTCCTATGTTGACTTCAACAAACACTGGCTGGGAAGCAGCTGCTTGCGCGAGAGGGGAATAATAACTGGAGGGAACTGTCATCTGTGCATCTGTGCTCTCTTTACATATACTATATTTTAGAAACAGGGCACTCCAGTCTTCATCATGAAATCTCCACACTTCTCATCTAGGGAAGGAAAAAAAATTGCTTGATCATGAGTCAAAATGAGGAAGAAAGCTGATTGGATGAGTAAAGGGTTTGGGAGCTTAGCCAATTAGGCTGATTAGTAGGAGGTTACTAGACTGAATGTGCACAGACCCTTAGTCGATTCACAGAGCGGTGGAGGATCACTTAGTTTTGAACAATTTTATTTGTCACAGTCATCACTGGACACATAATATGGTTTTGTTTGACGGCAAAAGATGCTACTCAGGTATGGCTTTGAACTTAATCTTTAAAACTTCCAACACAATATTTAGTGGCCATTTTTTGTGATTTAACAGTTGAGTTTGAGATGGTCTGCGTGCCCTGCTCTTTAAACTCACATTAGTCCAACAAAGGGTATGGACTGTGGGGAGTAGCCCATCCGAAAGCTGTTATATGAGAATATATCAGCCTATATGTAGTTCGTCCCTCCATCAGGGAGACTTGATGTTAAGTCCTGCTTACAGAGACTGTAACATGATGCTTTATTCTACAATGAATCTTAACGGGCCTATATTTTAGATGGTGCTTACTAAAGGAGAGACTAGTAACAGTAAAATTGGACCCAGTGTGTTTCCATGATAACACAGAGATAGAGTGTATATCTGTTCATGTTAGGCTGAACGTTGAGGCTTCAAGGAGACTGAACAGCAACGCCTGAGAGTGAGTGGTATGAGACCACAAGCAGGAAACAACAACAACACATTGTGCCTCATTAGTGAGGCACAATGTGTGTACAACTGCATTTTAACTGTGAAATGCTAAAGGAATACTTCACCCCCTAAATGAATCCCCGAAAAAGAAAACTTTTTTTTGTGCATGCCTCCAGTGTACTAAGAATCCAACCACAGAAAATCAATATTCTGTTTAAAGCTGAACTCCACTGACAAAAACAGTCATTTTACCTTCATGAGTACTGGAGCTGCTGGTCGTCTAGTGCTTTAACCATTTGGCATGTTATTGTGCGACTTTGGTGAATCTCAACTCACTCTTTAAATCCCCAAAGTCACACAATAACACGCACAACTAACTGATTGAGGCAGCAGTAGCCCAGCGTGTTCAGCGAGGCAAAATTACTGTTTTTGTCAATGGAGTCTGGTGTTGAACAGACCATAGATAAGTTTCACTTTCCCTTCAGTTCTAAATGGTAAGGTTTTAGTCATACCCCTTGGCAGTACTGAGCATACAGCTGGATAAATGAAATTTGGATTGTACTGCACGGGTTGTGTCAGACTTTGTAAATCAATGTTTTGATAGTTTTGCTGTTAAACACAATCCTCGATGACTTTGATTCATCAAGAATTTTCTCTGCTTTTGAATTCCTCATTCATCAGAGGTATGCAAGAAAAACAAACTTAACAAATGGTCATGGAGGGTGATGTATTCCCTTTAAATATAGTGCATATTATAGAGATATTCTAAAGTCAGCAAACTGACTTAATACACAACATACATCAAGTCTGCCAACAATAATGTTTGCTCATTAGCCACCACTTGATCATACCGGATCAGGTGAGGCTGTAGCATCAAACACCCTGTGGTGTGTTTTATTTCTTATGTATTCAACTTTCATCTGAGAAAGAAGATGGTGTTATATCACCTTTCAAAATTATACAGTCTTGCTTCTGGTCTGCTTGCATGCTAATGCGGTGATGCTTCTCCCTGCAGGTAGTGAGGCAGATTTTAGCTCCTCCAGCAGCACAGGCAGCCTAAAGGCCAGGGAGAGCCTCTGCTCCGTTTCAGCTGGAAAGAGAGTTTCTTCACGCAGGTATGAGGTTCATATAATCATCTGTATGATCTGCTGGGGTCACAGCCCCAGACTACAAGACAGTTGTAGCTAAAATGGAGGCGTCATTCATGCATTAACCATTTCATTTCTCCTACCTTTTTGGAATTAACAAATGCATTGCTTTCCTAATGCTTTCTTTTATTAAGTCGCAGCACTCACATCAGACCGCTCCCAGTGTTCAAACCAGCCGGGAGCCCTACAGCCAACCGCGACGCAGAGCTCTACGCTCCCTACAGGACTCCCCCTAGAGCTGCCTCCTCAACCAACAGCAGCAGCTGTAACTCCAGCCCCACCTCCAGGTACAAAACATGGCTCTCATATTGTGCATTATTAATAATCACAGAGCAAAGATTCTGGTTGGAATGTTGAGGGAGAAAGAGTGGTTGATCAGTCATGTGACCCTCTGGTCATGTCTAACCTTTCCACATTTCTCCACATTCATTACAAATGCAAATCTTTCCAGCTTAAGGGAGAAACAAGTAGCTTTTGTAGACTTGAGAGATTTGGACTGTGGCTCAGGCTCATGCGCAGAATGAACGATGAGCGAGTGGGCGGTGGCTGGATTAAGCTCAGACTGTTTTATCATTTACTCTCTTGCAGCCGTCTGGGATTATATCGGTCATGGTTTGGCTGTGGTTGGGATTAATGAGGATTTAATATAGCAAATGTCTGAATATGGTGCCCAGACCGTGACCCTACTCACTGCATCCGATTCATAACAGGATTAGAGTGAACTCACCTTGGTTTGAAGGAGAGAACGAGGTCATAAATATTTGAAAACGGCAGAATTGATGTGTGAATTGAATAGCCTGAAGCTCACAAGTGTTTGGTACCACCATGAATTTCTGACATGGTGCTCCAGGCTGTGTGTTACTTGGAAGGTAATGGGGCTCTGTGCTTGTTGGCAGCTTAGCCCTGCGTACGGTTTAACCTAAAAATCCTCTTTCAGCAGTATAAATGGAAAAAAAAAAAAATTCAACCCACAGCCTTTTGAATTTTTATGCAGTCGCAGAATCTGCCCTCTTTTATCTCATATTTACAGCTTCCATAAATGTATTATAACCCTCCACTCTTGTCACTTGAGGACACCTTGCTGTCAGCTTTCCGAAGAGTCATGTGACATCCTTTCCTCTGGCATGCTACCTTCTCCTGGGCTGTTTCTATTTCTGGCAGGGATGCAGAGCGTTCACATGAAAGCCTCAAGTATCGCAGGTTGCTAGGATATTGTGTTAGTGGAAAAGAGGGGCTTACATACTGCTTTGCATATTGTCCAAATCCACCCACTCATCCTCCACCGAAACAACACGAATCCTTTTATCAGTTCTCTTTGAGGACGATAAAACACTGATCATAGGACATGCAAAGGGCATTTGAATGCTAATGCAATTAGCTTCTAGATTAAGTTTTTCCCCCCAGTAAGGTGATTTCTTTCCTTGCCGACTGTGCTTGTATTTAGATAAACCAGCATTCGGGGGTTTTTGCCTCTAGTCTACATGCCAATAATCCTGTGTCAGACAGTAATTCCAGGCTTCAGAGAGCATCTGCCCTGACAGCACTCTCTCAGCCAGACAAATTAGCATCTGCAGGGAAACGATTTTACGTGTACGCGTCAAATGGGTTTGTTTTCTGCTGTTGCTTCAAAATGTCTAATTGGGAACTGATGGACAATGTTGGCTAGAAGGGGTACGCATGGCCTTTAACCAATGTAATTATCTCTCTAACCGACAGAAGAGCGAATCTGGGACGCTACCACTCCTGTGGGGACAACCATGGAATCAGACCCCCGAACCCGGAGCAGTATCTCACCCCTCTGCAGCAGAAGGAAGTGGCCATCAGACACCTGAAGACCAAACTGATGGAGTCTGAGAACAGAGTCCGTGACAGGTTAGTTCAGATTTAGCAGCACAGAAGCCCCTGCGGTTGTATCTGTAGCTTTTTATGGCTTTAAGGAAAGATGATAGTGGACACACTGGGGGGAAAGTGAAACCGTGGTTGTGACGTAATGCCACACTGCTGCTCTGCTCAACAGATAAAACCCTGGAAAGTGTGAACCCAGTGGGAAATTACTATTATATAGGCTAAATAAACAGCATGATGCTAAGCAAGTTATATCTTGCAAGAAATATACCCTGTGCATAAGATAAACAAGGCTACTTATTTATAAAGTATGATTACGGCAGTTACTTGTTTTTTGGAGAGTCAGATGAGAAGATTCGTACCACTAGTTTATCTGTTAGAAAAGTAGCTACAGCCACTTAGCTTAGCTTAGAATAAAACTGGAAACAGAGGGAAATGGCTAGCCTGGCTCTGTAAACATGAAACACAATCTGGCTACTGGCACTTTTATCTTTTCACTTCAGTTTTTGCACAGATTTAACAAAAAATAAGAACGTTGGAGGATCCGTTAGATTGGAAGTTGTGTGGGAATGGTTGTAAGTATACCCTGCAAGTGAAAGAATGGCTAGCCGGCTAAAAACAACATTCCACAAGTTGTGAATTAAACAGCTTCATATCAAACACTTTCTTGTCATGACCTCTCAGTCTCCTTGAGCTAACTGCAGCCACGCATTATGCTAAGCTAATGGGCAGCTGGCCACAGCTTCAGATTTTAGCATATAGATCTGAGAGTGGTATCGATCTTCCAATCTAACTCTAGGCAAGAAAGTTAATACACATATTTTACAAAATGTCAAACTATTCCTTAAGTAGCCTAACTCTAGACATTATCTTCCCTCTTTATTAGAGAGACAGAGGTGGAGGAGCTGAAGGCTCAGCTTGGCAGAATGAGGGAAGACTGGATTGAAGAGGAGTGTCACCGGGTGGAGGCTCAGCTGTCCCTCAAAGAGGCTCGCAAAGAGATCAAGCAGCTGCGTCAGGTGGTGGAAACAATGAAGAGCAGCCTGATGGAGAAGGATAAGGGAATACAGAAGTATTTCATTGACATCAACATCCAGAACAGGAAGTTGGAGTCCCTGCTGCAAAGCATGGAGCTTGCCCAGAGTGGCACCAACCTCCAAGACGAAAACACCTTGGACTTCATCTGTGACAGCCCTGATAGTGGTGGGAAGAAGATGGTGGGGGAGGAGGAGGGTGGGATGGAGCTGGGAACTCAAGGGGCGGAGGCGATGGCGGACAGCGGGCTGCTGGTAAATGACGAGATGGCCAACAGAGCAGACATTTTGGAGCAGGTCTTTATGTCCACTGCGGTAGATTTTTGTCAGGACTCTAGCGGCAAGCTGTGCGCAGGGACAGAGAATGGGCCTGGGGTGTCTGCACTTTCAGAAGAGGGACAGTCAATTGATCAATCTACTGCACCCCCACCAGCTCCACCAGACACAGTTTCCACCACCCTCACCGTCTCCTCGAGCCCACTTTCACAGCAAAACACAGAAGATAAAGAAATCCAGACCGACATAATGCCCATGTCTCCAGACCTGCAGGCTCTGCTCCTCCAGCTGCTCAAGTTCCATGGGGCCACAGCGGGGGACACAGCTCTGTCAGCCTCCAGCAGTCTTCTAGGTTTCCCTAACCCACCCACCTCCACTTCCACCACTGCTGCCAATCTCCCCAACTCAACACCTCCCCCATCCACCATGCCCAGTCCTGCTCCCCCAGAAAGCCCCGACACCTCCACAGATTCCGGCATGTGCTGCTATGAACCTGCCGAGAGCCGACGGTTCATGGAGGAGCTGGATTTTAGCGTCGGTGAAGAGGAGCCTTGTCTGTCACCGGGACTGGATGTGGTCAGCAAGCGTTACTGGAGCAACAGCTTCCTGGTGGATCTGGTCGCAGTGGCAGCCCCGGTGCTACCCACGGTGGCATGGCTGTACTCGCGGCATGGTGTGGATGGAAGCGCTCCGGTGTACAACATCGCTGCTCTTATCAGGGGCTGTTGCATCATGGGATTGCACTCTCTTCGTCATGTTGCTGACAGGCCGGATGCGTAAAGGCTTCCACCTCGCATGCACACGCCTAACCTTGAACTAAAAGCACTTAAGCATCTTTTCAAGAGTATTCGTGAGATGTGTTGCATTTTTGTTGAACACTTGATGATATCAATGCAGTTATTTTGGTTCCAACACTGTTACTTTGCACTGTACAGTTACCATGATTGAAGCAAAATGGTGACATGAAAGGGATTATTTATGAAGGGGGTTATTTATGTATTTATTTATCATTTACATGTATAAGCTGATCATCTGGGTAGATGGTTATGTGTTATCATCATCCTGTGGTGTCCCTGGTTGTCCCCTTGTTTAAAAAACTTCTTTATGTTACGATGAGATTTGTAGGAGTTGAAAGATTGAATGTTAGTGTTTGTTTGATGGGTTCGAAAACGGAGTTATTGTTCAAAAAGAAACCTTAAACCTTCAGCCAAAGCTTTAATGTGAGTTCACTGTTTTGTTTTGTGAAGAAGTATATATTTTTTTCCTCCCTGGGAGTAGAGCTTTATTCTGTACAGCCTGTGTATTGTTCATAGAATAAGTTGATGCTTCAAAGCAACTGACACTTGTTATGTGCCTGAGCTATGTGCAATACTGGTGGTTTACATCCAATGTCCTTGTATCTTTATTATTAAAGCATGATAAATTCCGTGTTGTGACTCGTGACTTTTTTTTTTGGCATGACATGTTTGTAATGGGGGAGAAAAAGACTAAACAGGGACAGTTGTTAAAGTTTGTCTTATGTAAGACTTCTGTTCAATTCTAGCAAAGACTGGGAGCGCCCATTTGCACAAGATGTTCACATAAATTAATAAAAGGGAAAATATCGAGTCTGAAGCCAAGTGCAACCAAGCAGTGTTCTCATGACAGCTCATCTTACGTAAAAGCTCTCTCTGCCTGTATTTTCAGACGTCCCTTGGGTTGTGGAGCTGACAATGTAAAGTGCATTAGATCCACTTTACTGGGATCTCTAAGAAGCTGTAAAAAGTCATCTGCGCCCTTACACCAGTGGAAACTGGGTCAGTGCCGGAGCAAATGTTGCCTGCACAAACCACCAATGCTTTCTTACAGTCATTACATAACAGCTACCCATATTAAATGAAAATAAAAGAACAAGCTGATTAAATAAACTAACACTTGCCATCTCAGCCATGATTACTGCATTTCCATTTTCTGCTCTGCCATATGGTGGTGTATCTTAAATTGCATAAGCATGACCTCTCGGTTCATAAGGCATCAGACTAGTGAGTCATCATGCTGTAATCTCCACTCTAGTCTGTGGACACTGGATTAAAATGAGTGGGAAGCAATGGTTGTAAATCTAACCAGCTGAGAACACAGCAGTCTTGTATAATCAGAATATGATTCTGACACCTTTCAAGACAATTACTCACCCATTTAGCCTGTTCCCTTTCTGAAGACAGATGACGTGCATTTTCTCTTTTTGAAAGTGGGTCAGTCTCTGAGAGGTTTTGGCAGGCAGGCAGTGTCCCCTGACAGATGGGAGTGACATCATTACGATAGGGGTCAGATGAGTGATGACAACGGACTGACAATCCAGGTTAAAGGCCACTTTACATTGATATTATTGTGAAATTAAAAAGACTAGAGTCGATGCTTGAAGCTCTGGGGAGCTGTATTTAGGTACAGCTATGCTTCGAGCTAAATGCTAACATCAGCATGCTAACAAGCTGTTTCAACCGCCCCCCCTGGTGCTACCTTGGTTGAAAATGCCACACTAAAGTTCCCTCTTGAGTGGCGAAAATGAAAGGATGTGCCCGATCAGCTGCCCTCTTGAATGATGAAAACGAGCTGATGTGCCCTTTTGGCTGCCCTCTTGATTAACAAAAACAAGCGTATTTGTCCTTTTGGCTGCCCTCTTGAGTGATCAAAACAAGACGATGTGCCCTCTTGAATGATGAAAACGAGCTGATGTGCCCTTTTGGCTGCCCTCTTGATTAACAAAAACAAGCGTATTTGTCCTTTTGGCTGCCCTCTTGAGTGATCAAAACAAGACGATGTGCCCTATTGGATGAAAACGAGCAGATTTTATAGACTATTTCGCCATATACATGACACACTAGCTTCTTACGCACCAATGGGGCCCATGTCATGCATTAGGTGCCCTTTTTTCCTTTTTCACCCCAGCCCTTCTAACATCCTGAGTCCTTCACTGGTCTTCAGTCTCCCTAGCTAAGCTAGTTATAGATTTCAAATCCAAAAAAGAAAGTCTTGGGGGAAAATAGAGAATTCAATAATGGCTGGATAGAGTTGTTTGCTTTCACCAGCAACACTACGAAGTTGTAGTACCAAAAAATCATAAATAGCCCACTGCGGAGGAGCTTCTTTGTGGGAAAGCATATACCTGAAAGCTCCTTGAAACCTCTTAATAATGCTGACAGGATCATTTAGATGTAAAATGCTGCGTAACCTCCATTATAAAGCTTAGATAGGTTTTTGATTTTGATGGTACAGATTGCTGAGCCCTGGCCTGGATCAATGTGGCGGAGTGACCGACAAACGCTGAATCCACGCTGCTAGCATGGCTAACAAAAACTGCCAACCCATATCATGTTTTACCCATAACAAAGCTCAATAATCATGTCATATGTCATCCATCTCTAATGGTACCCTGATCACTATACTTCAAATAGTGTTTCCCAAATTGCACACAAGGCAGCAGACTCATATCCAGAGTTATTCATCTCTAGAGGTATGAATCAAATCATTTTATTAAAAACCTGTGTAGGACTGATACAGCAGGTATACAATCTGCCAAACCTTCTGCATTGATTGAGCTTGTTGTCCTCGTTTGTGCTCAACCATGACGATTCTTATAACAGGAAGTCTTAAACATGACTGAGAAACAAAAATGGGTGAGAAACAAAGAGGTTCTCTGTGATTCTTTTTTTTTTTTGAAAAGTAAAATGTGCAAAATGACAAAATGGAACAACATGCAGCTTTTCTCAATGAAAACAGTTGGGAAAAGAGCATTTCCAAAGAAAACACACAAATCCTTACAGATAGTTTGCGGAATTCCCTTAAATTCCCTTAAAATGCTGCTACCTGCTTTCAATTAAACTCTTAAACCTGATCATGCATTAACCAGTCATTTAATCATGTAAGTTTTAAAACAAACAGCTCCTCTGAGTGTCAGTAAATCATTGCTGGATGACATTGACCAAATATTTCTTTAGAAGCATTGCAAAGCTTTTCAAACTGTAACATTCAGTGGGAAATGTACCTTCCTCGGCTCCACTCAAATCTTTTATCAGACGTCACAGTCCAGACATATTTTATCATGTCTGCATGTTTCTATTTATAATGGGCCTTTCTCCACCTGCCAATGTTCCCATGACAACAGCTTGCCTATTGGCACTGATACCAATACTGCCAACACTGCCTGGTAATTTCATTATAATGATGCATAACAGGATTTTCAGATAAGAAAAGAAGCAAAAAAATTTCTTCCATCTTCTAACAAGCCAAGGTATCCGGTCTGAGATTACACTGTGATGGTGATCCATGTTTTAGAAAATCAGTGTCTGTGCAGTGAGCGGATCAGCTATTTAAGAGCAAAGTAACATTCCCGTTCCTTGGACAAAAAAAATAAAAATAAAAATCAAAGCAGTGATCACTGGACAATTTCCCTCAATATCAAAAACTGACAGAGAAGAATAAATGGCAGATCAGTAGCCATGAGATTACCATAGGAACCCATAGCTAACATTTATAGTTGGGCTAGATTCTAGTCTATGGTCATTTATCCTTACTCATACTGATAATCCTCAGCCTTTGTTTTAATGCAGATATCCAGTGTACTAAGGGCTGCACAGCACAGGGAGATAATGTCAACTACCAAGCAACATTCATTAGAAAAAAAAAAAAGACGATGAAAGACATAAATATAAAAACACAAAGATCAAGCAAACTGAGGGATGTCACTGGTATACAGTGATGCTTAAAATTAATTACACTCCTTTGCCTTTGAGGTTATAAATAAGACAAAGAAAGGGAAGTGTACTCCCTATTTGAGTCTCATAAAGTAGTACAGGTACCTGATTATTTACAAATGTACCTGGGGAAAAAAAACCCAAAAGATTTTTCTACGCTATGTGACAAATTTAATCAGAATCTCTAAGTGGTACCCTCTAATGCTGCTTCTAACCTTTAACCTAAGATGAAGAGGATCGCATGAATACAGTTTTCCCTTGAAGACCAAAATGACCTTGCCACATGAACAGGGAGTACACCAGGTGAGTTATCTGCCCTCAAGAATGATGCACTTTCATTGCTGCAGCTGGATAACAGACTAAAATGGCTGCTGGTGGAAACAGGGTGGAGAAAGAGGATAGTTTGCTAACAGATAAGTAGTGTGGGGTGGTAATCCTGGTCGGTATGATGACTGTAAAGACAGACTGATGATTGATTCAGTGTCTTTGCCCCCTCCCATCCCTTTGGCTCAAAATTGAGCGGTTCTAAAATGTTACGAGAGCTTGACGGCAATCTTTTGCTCCTTCTTCATCATCCTCTGAGCCTCTTTCTCCATCTTCTTCCTCTGCTGCTCCATGGACCGCTTTTCTCTCTCTGCCATCTTCTGTTGTCTGTTACATAAAGAGAAAGACAAACATACGATTGCAAGCAATGTCATTACAGCGCACATCAACAGAAGCTAGGTCAGCTGGGAGTGGGGAAAACAAGATCTTATTCCTTGCTCCTCTGTGTTGTAATTATGGTATGCACTGTCTCCTGGTGGCCAGTGTGTGAATCTACAGCTCTCCAATGGAAAAATGAAAGTGAGCTCACAGTATAATTTTCATCAATAGTAAAATGGCCTGGCAAAACTATTTCAAGTGTTCTCCGCATTTTCCTTTCAACAACATCTGTCATCCCATGAGCAGAAGAGCAACTCAAGTCACATCAAACAAATACTTTTACTGTATGTTTGCATAATGTTCTATGTGAGAATCCTATTAAGTAAAGTCACCCTTAAGCCTAATGGGATTCATCTTCCCCTTCGTCTTACAAAACACTCAACTCATTCACTTGTTCCTGTAACTGCTGCATAACTGGCTGATGCAATATTAAAGAAGAATAATGAACTATGTCAACTGAAAAATCCTGACAAACTGGTACTCGTACAGTGTCTATGTAAAGGGACAGAGGCATTCCTGAAAAATTACCTGAGCACCTCCTCTGCCTCCCAGGCTGCATCAGACTCATCCTCCCAGGCATTTGCGTCCTCCTGCCAGTTGTCCATTTCTCCCAGTTCAGCCTGCACATAAGGAGGATGTCACTGTACAATAATTACAGCATTTAGATTTCAAGAGTTATGGTTTCTGAATAGGGCCAAAACTAAATACTTTACATAATGTATTACCTCCTAACTAAACAATCATTGTGGAAGTCTCCTCTAGCTTTACCAGAGATTAACTGTATGAAGGACACTGTTCACTTCATGTTGTTGCATCCTTACATGTTTCTGATTCAATGTCCTTGTTGAGTTGAACCTTAGCAAGGTCCCGCTTGCGGATGCAGACTGGGAAATCATGACGTAGCATCAGGCTGGCTCAGCCCAGGGTCCGACAACAACACAGCTGTGCTCCATTGACTCTAATGCAGTCGTTTCAGATTTCCTTCATTTTCAGGCT